AGCCCCCGCTTCTTCTTCTTCTTCTTCCTCCTCTTCTCGTCGTCGTTTTGTCGTCATCTCGTCCTCGTCCTTCTCCTCCTCGTCACCCTCCCCGTCAAGTCTGTCGTCGTCGCGCGGCTGCCATGTCAGCACGCGCATCTTCTACTTCTTCTTCTTCATCTTCTCCTTTTTCCTCTTTTTTTTTTTCTTCTTCTTCTTCTTCTTTTTCTTCTTCTTCTTCTTCATTCTTTCTTCTTTTGCTGCTCTCCTCCTCCTCCTCTTCCTCCGCCTCGTCCTCTTCCTTTCTTCATCTTCTTCTTCTCCTCCTCCTCAACTTCCTCTTCTCCTCTTCTTCTTCTTCTCGTCCTCTTCGTCATCTTCTTCTCCCTCTCCTCCTCATCGTCCTCCCCGTCATGTTCGTCGTCGTCGCGTAGCTGCCACGTCAACACACGCGACCTTTTTAATTTTTTTTTCATATTCTTATTCATCTTCTTCATTTTCTTCATTTTTTGTTGAATTTCTTCTTCTTCTGCTCTCCTCCTTCTCCTCCTCCTCCTCGGCCTCGCCCTCTTCCTTTCTTCATCTTTTTCTTCTCCTCCTCCTCATCAACTTCTTCTTCTCCTCTTTTTCTTCTTCTTTTTCTTTTTCTCCTCCTCTTCGTCATTTCTTCATCTCCTCCTCCTCCTCGTCTTCTCCTCCTCCTCCTTTCGTCATCATCATCTTCTTCTTCTTCTTCTCGTTCTCCTCCTTTTCTTCTCCTCCTCCTCCTTTCGTTATCATCATCTTCTTATTGTTATTCTCCTCCTCCTCCTCCTCCTTTTCTTCTCCTCCTCCTCCTCCTCCTCTTCTTCTTTTTTTTCTCGCCATCTTGTTCTTCTCCTCATCTTCCTCTTCCTTTCGTCATCTTCTATTTCTTCTTCTTCTCTTCCTCCTCCTCCTTTTCTTTTCCTCCTTCTCCTCCTTTTCTTCTCCTCCTCCTCTTCTTCTTCTTGTCCTCACCATCTTCCTCTACTCCTCCCTATCTTCTTCTCCCTCTCCTCCTCGTCGTCTTCCCCGTAACTGACATTTCGTTAAAATTGACATTTTTTACTATTTTCGCGAAATTGAACATTGACAATTTCGCCTATGTTTTTGTGTGGAAATGAGTGACTTCTTTCTTTGTAGTGATGGCTACCATCACATGGTCTAAGTATACCCTATCCCATAATAGGTCTATCATCTATCATTGACCATATACCACAACTATCATATGGTATATCCTCTACCCTAAGAGTCCATCATACAACATACATCATCATAATCTTAAAATACACCATAAAGGTCACCATGGCATGGCCCGGCATGCACCGTAAGGGTGCATCATCCAGCACACATCATTGGACTCTCATCCTTCGTATCACAAGTATATGACACGACTTTCATCGTCAGGTCTGCCGTAATTTGAGCATTTGTCTTTATGATATCGTGTTATTGCCACACTTATCCCCATGAAGGTTGTAACCTCTACACCATCAATATTGCAAAACTTATTACATCGAGATAAAACATTCACACCATATGCACCCATGGTCATTCGTGTAATTACTGAAAGACTTTCGACCTCATTTCACATTTCTTTATTGTTTATTCGTCAGCAGAAGCAACAGGAGATACGCATTGTATTGTAGAAACACGTCGGAAATGTGATCTTCTCATGCAAAGCACTATACCGTTATCAGTTACGCACAAATGTGACCTTCCCATGCAAAACACTATAGCGTTATCAGTAACGCACAACACAAAAAATACAAAAAGATTACAAAGAAGTTCACTGGATGTACTACAAGTCATGAAGCTATCGAATCTATGGCGATCCTTCGTCTAATGCCCTTGATGTCTTTCATTGAGAAATGGAATGGTGGCACCTTGCCTCTAGCTAGAAGAGATGAATAAGTGAGCATAAACACTCCGCACTGATATGCATCCTCTTGTTTCGGAATGTCGTCGACGAGACATTTATGTTCGAAGCATGATATGTCTACAGGCTTTCCTTGCCGAGTCGAGCGTTGCAATATAAAGCTTGCGAAGTGCCTTGTTAACTCTTTAGCAAACTCGATGTTCGTGTCCATCGAATCGTAATACTCTATGATATTTCGTCGACGGTTGGCTACCAAAAGGGTCCAGTGTTTCTGTTTTATATCGTGATACGGAGCCAGAATCAACTCCGTGTCTGCTATGATTACATCTCGAAACCACCTAGCAACTCTCTCGTAGCTATATTCCATGTTTTTCCCTAACAACTTAGCGAAAAAGTATGAGTTTTATGCAGCGGTGACAAGGACCGTGCTTGCTCCACATGCATTTGACTTGTCAAAGGAAGTATCACATTCGCGATAAAACTTTCTGCAATTGTTGTCATACAGAATGAGTTTCATGTAGAAATTCACAATGTTGTCGTTCAACCACTTGTTCTCATGCATGAGGACGCTGAAGTCATGCACTGTGAATAACAACTGCTCCCCCGTGGCTTCATTCGTCGTGGTTGCCAAGGTTTTCGTATTATTCAGCTCTATGCTCATGCGTTGTAATGCTTCTTCCTCAGTCTCATTGAGAGCGTCCATTGCTAAGTGAATGGTCCAGCCATGTACACAGCTGCATTCGCCTTCATTGCACTGGTTAACTGTATCACCGAGTAACAATTTGAACTATGTGTTGTTAATGTCTGCTTATGGCACATCCATTAACATGTACATGTTCAAACCGTGCTTGTCAATCACTCCCTCATTCAGTGTCGCCCGGTACCTCGTGTGTGTGTGTGTGCATGTGAGCGGGCGCGAGCGAGTGTGTGTGTGTGTGTGTGTGTGTGTGTGTGTGTGTGTGTGTGTGTGTGTGTGTGTGTGAGAGAGAGAGAGGGAGAGAGAGAGAGAATGCGAACTTAAGTCATTCCCCATCCTCAACACTTACAATGAAAGCGAATGGGATTTTAGTCACTTTTCGATATTTTACGCCAATGGACGTGATCCCATCGCATAAATGAACTGCAAGTACTCTTGAACTGCAAGTACTCTGTTTATCACTTACTATGAAAACTGGTCTACAACTTCTACCAACATCCTTTGCCACACACACGCACCCACATATTTCGCTTTCCTGGATAACATGACAAAACCATATGCTCCTTGGGCGCCCGCCCATTAACTGCATCTCCAAATGTCTCCCCGAACAGACTAAACGTTCAGTGCTCCACCGTCCACGGTCTCCGAGAAGGCATACCACCTGACAGCATGCTTCGACATGTCATGGCATACTCCGCCATGACAGGGGCGTTGAGCCATGCTTTCACGTGGGGAGGCGTCAAGGGGATGCCGAACTGCATGATTGGATGGTCCGACATCCCCGAGCCGCCGGATGATACGATGAAAAGGTCTGGCGTCCCTGGGCCGCCAGATATTACGATACGGTGGTCCGGCGTACACACACACACACACACACACACACACAGACAGCACGAGGATCGAAACATGCGTCAAACCACAAGAATTTGTCCCATATTCGCAGTCTATCATTGTCCTTTACGGAATCATGGTGTTTTTGGTTTGACACACATCATCGACACCATTCTCACTAATCAAAGGTGGAATACAATAATCAAAATACAACAATCATTGCGCCCTTATTCACACACTCTGTACTCGCACAATCGGACAAACATGAACAAACATACACACACACACACTCACAGACACACACACACGCACATTCACACACACACACACACACACGCACACACATGCACACCCACGCACACCCACGCACACACACGCACACACATACACACACACATCACTCCAACACATATGCACAAGCACATTTTGCGCTACGGCGGTTTCTTATCCTTGCCTCTCCGTGAACGCCGCACACCACATTCTCCCTTCTGGTTTCCTGCTTCCCTCTTCGGAGTGCACCTTCCCTCCCTCACATCATGAAAGGCACGCTCCATTTATTCCGGCTGCGCTGATGGCAACGTTCTTCCTTCGCTGTTGGACATTTCTCCATGCTCACCTGATTGTTCGATCAAATCGATCACATGGTTGCCTATGTCATCTGATTCGTCACGACAGGAAGCTTCCTTTCCCATTTTATCCTCGTCGTCCATGTCCATGACATGTTCGATCATCGGTAGCGCCTCGGCCTTCGATACATCGTGACCACCTTCATTCCCGGTTGTTGTACAAACTCCACTCGGACCACCACCATCTTCCTACTTCATTGTGTCAGTGGCTATCTGCGACCCGGAACCGGTGCATTCCATGTGTGGAAGTGTGGCCCCCCTCCCTGTGTCATGCAATATTGCCTTATGAAATATTGTTGCATGTCGTGCATTGTCGTCCATCGCACTGCAATTCACACGTGGCAAAGTCTCTTCGTTGACAGAGCGGTTCGTATCTTCGGTTTTGTCATGCAATTTGACCGACAATGTGTCATCCGTCTGCACGTCTTCGCGGGCCTCTGCGGCATTCCCATGACTCTGCGTACCTGCAGTTGTGTCTTCTCCTAGTGTTGTTGTTTGCATTGCATTCTGTTGTGGGAGTCCCTGAGGTTGTGCAGTGCTATGCCCGACGTCGTCAGTTGCTGCCTCCTCCTCCCTCCGTTCCGCTCTTTCCTTCACACATTCCCTGCCACACTCCGGTCCGTTTACCTTTCCCCCACACTCCGGTGTTTCTACCTTTCCCCCTGGCATGGTAGTGACGTCCTTGGAACCACGTCTTTTCGCAAATCATTAAGTGATGCCGTGCAAGTAGCCTCTTCTTCAGGCTCATCATTCCTCCTCTGAAGCCCTTCCTTGCGAGCAAATTTGTCCTTATCGGGTCCTCCGCTTGTCCTGTCTACATTCTTTTTATGTATGACGTTCTCTTCCAAGGGTTGACTGCACGACACCAATATGTTACTGTCGTAGAGATGTTCCGTGTCACGGCACTCCATCGTCCATCTGATCAGTCCTCTTGAAGGGCTTCATTTTCTTTCGTACAATGTTGCACAGTACTCCAGATGATTGTTTTCTAACAGTGATTCGAAGAGGGAACTCACCTTTTCGCTAATAGTTTCCTCTCCTGCACCCCTGTTCGCCTGGACCACGCGCAACAACAACTGTTGTTTCGCAATGTCAAGGAACTTAGTCTTGTTGAGTCTTTTCTTCATTACCCAATTCCCTCCCACTCGGACAGCCATCTGCCATTTGCCGTCAACCACACATGGCTCGAACAAGCCCGAATGCCATATGATGTGATGACCCCATTTGTAAGCCTCAGTCTCTGTGAACTTTGTGTCCAAAAAGTGAGGTCCTCCTTTGCTCTCCTTCATGTGACTTTCGATTTCATCCCCAGGACTCAGAGCTTTGTCCTCGTCGTCAGGCATGTGAAACAATGGATCGTCCTCCAGATCCATGGCATCCTCCCCGGGCCCCACGCCGGCGGGACCACAAAGTGTTGGGATTTCTGTTTCCATTGCCATGACATCCGAGATCATATTCCTCATGAGCGTAGGAAAGCCTGGGGTGGCGCGGTTGTCCACCCATTTCGAAGTGCTTGCCTCTGTACCATCTCCCATGGACGACGTAGGCGGTTGTGTGACTCGGCCATTCTTGCATCTTGCCGTAGTCGCTCCCCTCGCTTCACCCAGCCCCGCTTCACCCTCCGCCAAGGACTCCGCACGCATGTCATCGTCGCCTGCTTCATGCCTTGCATCAGTTGAAGGCAGGTCAATCTTGTCGTCATCCGTATCCTCCTCACTGTCCATCAAATCGAAACGATCTTCGGGCTCCAACGCTTCGTTATAAGTCTTTGCGTCAATGCGGTCCATTCTTTTGTCGAACCAGAGGTTTTCGCAACGTGCCAAGAAAATCTCGATTGCACCAATTTTGGCATCGTGGTATCGCTGGAGATGTTGGAGTGCGATGACTTTGCGTGCAACATAATCTGTCTCTGTCCGCTTATCAGGAGCATTCCAGAACAAGTACTTCCACAAAGACTCTATCTTCTTTCCCAGTTTAAGAAACATGTCTCGGTCCGAGCGATGCTGAGTTTTCGGTCGCTCGAAGTGACAACGGCTATGGGAATCACGAACGAGACGATCAATAAACGCGGAACAGTACTCGAGCATGGTGGAGGAACCTTCGCATGCCACAACATGACGGCCGGACCAAAGTAAGTCCCAAAATGAGTCAGCTTGGACGTTGCCCAGAAGGAGCACACCCTCCCCTTCCTTCGAAAACCATGAACACAACTCTTTGATCTTTGCCGGCTCTTTCTCCCAAGCACCATAAACAGCTCTGTCTTTGCCGTCCACACCGATGTGTTGTTTTGTGCACCTCACAAACATCTCCTCCTCAAAGTTTGTATCGAAGAGCACATTGTCACGCTTGGATGGGACCGTGACTTTTTTGAAGTCATTGCCTGCGTCGTGCAGCACAATTGTCATGGAGTCCCGATTTCTCAATGGAAGATTTCCAAGCGGGACACACGAGGACGGCTGAGTACTGTGATGCCGCCTCCAGCGGCCCGGGAGAACCTTCACACTCCCCCACCTGAAGATGCTCCTCAAAATCAAGTCCTCGGATTTCAGCCCGCAGAAAATAACGAGTGCCCAATGTGTCCCGCATAGAACCTTCATCATATGTTGAAGCTCGACAAACCGCTGGTCTGTCCATAAATCAAGACTCTTGTTGGGACCCAAATCCAGCACCGCAAGGTGGCAACTCAACTTCTTCACGGCACGAGTGACGTCCTCTGTTGGCTGGAGGTCATCCAAAGGCCCCATGCAGACAGGGAGATATGTCGTATTACACTTCCTCTTATCCCATAGTATGTGCAATGCGTTGAAGCTTGTCCTTCAATTGGTTGACTGATCCCACTATCTCATGCAGGAACAGTTTGAGAAAGTAAGGACACTCCATGTACATCTCAGTCGTAACCTTGTACCCCCCCACATTCCCATCTCCCAACTTCCCCTCATCGACACCGCCCAAACGTTTCGACACATTGTTCAATCTCTCAACCGGAAGTTTCGTCTTCTTCTTCTCCCACTTTTCCTTTGTCAACCCGTTCGGTCCAAATCTCGCCATTATATCATCGTACCCGATGAAGAATCCGTATTTCCATTCGCGCCGTTCCCTCTTCTCCGACTTGAAGAGCACGTAGCTAAACATGCGCACCATGTATCTCTCCCTGCGCACTTCCGTGTAAAGGTCGTTCATGTTCATGAGTTTCTTCCCAAATGTCCTGCCAGAGGTGACGACCACCTTCCCAGCCAAAATCAAATGCAATGCCATCTTCTTCTCCCTCGCAGTGAAATCCTAGAACACTTTCCAAGCGCTCGCTGGAGGATCGTGAACACAAACATAATACTCACTCGGACTTTTGTTCGATTGGATGTAGTGCACGAGTTGCTTTTTCCGTTTGACTGTCTTCGCTGTCGGACCTGGACCGGAGGCCTCGCCCGGTCTCCCTTCCTGGGCAACTGGCCGGACTCCATCCTGGGCAGGCAACTCCCCTTTTTCCCACATGTCGAAGAACCGGTTCACCAAAGCCCACACATCGTTGCCAGTCGTCGCGAGACACATGAATGGCCTCAAAAGGTTGGACCAATCACGAACAAATTTGTTGCTCAGCGACAAGTTCCAGAGCTCTGTGTCCGGAGTCATCCTTATTGCTTTGCGCAGGAATGCGTGATAGTTTTGTTGCTGCTCCAGTTTGTCCTCTTTTGTTTTTGCCAGATGCCAGTCACCCTTCGGGCACTTCATGTGATGCCACAACCCTCTTATTGCGGTGACAACCATTCGGAAAGACGACGGGATAGATCGAGTCTCCCTCGTGTTGTCAAATGTGGATATGTAGGCATACCCATCGAGGTGGTCATCATCGAAGTAGACCGCACGCGCTTTCCATGAATGTACGCCTCATTTCCTGGCAGCCGACGAGTTCGCTGTCGCCAACCTCTTCGCAGCTTCCGCCGTGTGCTGGCCTGCAACGGCGTACCAATGGTACAAATCCACATCTTCGTTTTTCCAATCGGCAGGTTTCAAACGTTCTCACTTCTTCTGGCCGCCCGTAACGACTTCTACAACCGGAGCGAGAATGAATGTGTTTTTGTCCCGCTCTTTCTGTTTCTCCGGTCGTTCCAAAGCGTCCTTGATAGAGGCGACCAACATCTCGTTCAGCGGTCTGTGATTGTACTGGCAATCACCGTTGTCAGGGTTAGGCAAGATCTTAAGGAAGTTGACGAACACCTGGGCAGGACGGTCAATGGCATTCCCATCCCCGTCGTACTCCAAGAAAAAACATCTTGTCGTGTCAATGTTATTGGAAACCAGCCACTCCGGTTTCGCAGTATTATCTCTTGGATCAACCCCCACCGCCTCGTCACCGAAGTCTGCCACTTCCTTCGAGCCGTCCACCTTCGGTTTCTTCTTCCACCTTTGTGACGAGCGCGGACGTTCGCGCTTCTCCGTGGTCGGCTTCGCCGATTGTGTTTCCAGCGCTTTCTTGTACACCTCCTGCGATGCCGCCAAACCAATTAACTTGGACTGCCTCCGGGTCCGTTCCTCGTCTTGCCATTGAGATGTCGTTTTTCTCTTACGCGAGCATACTGATCTCTGAGTGTCAACGACGACGTCCTCGTGTCCCGATGCGACGGCTGCACTGTCGTTAACGCACTGGTACTCACCGTCACCCCCTCCGCACTCATTGTCACCGTGCATCTCCCCTTCGCTCCCCCCTTCGTAGCTCCCTTCCTCATCGTCACCTCCCCCCTCACTGTCGTCCTCGACTTCGAGGTCATCCTCGTCGTCGCAGGCATCTTCATCGATGGCAGCTCCGTGATCCTCACCTTCATCGCGCTCTTCGGCTTCATCCTCGTCACGTCCAACGTTGTCGTCCGTGGATCTCTCAACCACGCGCTGTCCAGGGGTGAAGTCATCTTCTGTCTTCTCTGAATCCCCAGGGGGCTAACTGCCACCATCCCGATGCGAACACGAAGTTTCCATCGGACCTTCCTCCCGTGGTCGACCCGGAGCAGAGCCGGTTTCAACACAGGCCCAGACTTGCCAAGCGATCCCTCCTGCCCGGTGTGTCCCGCTGAACTGCCGAGTTTGGTTTTCCTTGCCCCTCCAGCATGTGGCGAGCCAATAGAGATCGCGCTGTGCAGAATAGCTTGGCCCAACGTCTGCAACCTATACGATCGAAGCATCGAAGCGAACTCGTGGACAATAATATCGAACGGTATAAGACGTGTGGATAACGTCAGCTTGTTGTCCACCGTGCACACGTGCGTAGCCACTTTATGGCAGTTAATTTTCTTGAGGAACTCTGGAGGGCGAAGCATAACGACCTGCGACCCGTCTTTCTTTCGTGACTTGTCGAAAGGAGGCATAGCAACAACGCGCATACCGTACCCCACGAACTTCTGCAAATGCAACGACACCTGTTTGTAGTTGTCGGGTTCCTCGTTGCCATCAGCATCGAAAAAAGTGGTGAGGTGGAATCTCATGTACTCCACATGCACCTCAAGGTTATCGAAGGCGTAATTCTTGATTCCTCCGCAGGGATAAAAATCCCCTTTCGAGTCTCTCAAGAAAACCACCGGCTCGCAGTAGGGAACCTTAATTCCCAGATGCCAATCAAGCGCCCAGTATTTATCATGGTACGTCGCAGCCCATCCAAGCACCTTCGGCGTACACGCACCCGATGAGCTTTCTCTACCATCTACACAAGCATCACACCTGCAAACGGAAGAAAACCCGCAATCGAACACGAGGCGGTTAACAACACATCTGTGTATTGTTCAAGCGCGTGCAAGAGAGAGAGAGAGAGAGAGAGAGAGAGAGAGAGAGAGAGAGAGAGAGAGAGAGAGAGAGAGAGAGAGAGAGAGAGAG